TAATACGATAAATTGATACATCGATAAATTGATAAATATTTGAATGTGCGGAATAGAAACAACGGTTGAACTTGCTTAAAATGATTCACAGCAATTAGTTGTTCGTTCTATACAACTAGTATATTCAACCCATTTTGTTGTTGGAAATGAGCTATCTTTTTCGTTATAATTTTCAAGTAAGTATATAATCAAAAAATTCTTTATCAGTTTTAATGATATAAATCATTAGTATAGCAATCATTGATTTTTACGGGCGATAATAAAGATAAGCCAAAAAAAAAAAGTTAATGTTCGCTCTATTCTGGAATTGTATTATTTTTAAATTTCTTTGAAAATTTTAATTGTTGTATCTTCCCCACCAGGCTTGGCCCAAATAAAACCGAAAACATTTTAATTGAGCTAAAGGCCATACTTCAGATATCGCTACACAAATAGCTCTTTCAAAATCCAAAAGTACGTAAGTCCGTACATATTTATTTAAATAATTTTGAATTAAACAAGAAGCTTTTATAAACGTATCACTAGTTTTGTTTAGAAGTAAAAAGAAAACTAGAAGGGAATATGGTAATTATTTTTTACGCCATGATTTGAAAAGAGTTGATAAAAAAGCTAAGGACAACTTTTGAAAGTACTATCAATAAACACAGTTTTTATTTGACCTAATACTTCCAAATTGCTATCATATGAAAATCCAATAATTTTTGTTTCTGCACTGTTAAAAAATGTTCTCTCTGATTAGTTATTAAATTATAATTATTTAATATAATAAATTATGAGTCTCGTTTAATATTTTGAGCAATGTTAGTACCTACTACCTATTGCACTACATTAACGTCACTAACTAGCATAATGTACCTATCTTTTTTTATTATTTTTTTTATCAACAATTGTATTTAAATTATTTGTATTCAAATACGACTTACATGTTATTTGTACACATGTCCAACAATCAATGAGATCTGTAAATTTTTTTGAAATTTAAATTTATAACCTTTTAATAAGATAAGTTTTTTTATTTTTTTCACTGTACATAAATTCCATATTTGAGAAGTTTTAAACTTAAACAAAAACGAAAATTCAATCACTATGCATATGCACACTCAGCAATCAGTGGTTACTGCGATGCATTACTGAATGTCGTACCGATTAACGAATGAGATACCTGTAGTCCATATCGATAATATAACACCGATCTTAAGACTGTCCTTGTATATATTTATAAATTTAATACATACTAAAAATAATAGTTAAATAATTTATATTATAATATGCATGACTATGTTATATTGCGTGTAGAATGACTGAAATATGTATATTTTAGAATGTAAATACAGTAAATTAACAAAAACAATTTGTGTAATTGATTTAACAATTTAACTAATAGGTGGAAACTTTTGGGCGCTGAACCGATAATAATCAGTCGGCAATACGCCGAAAGTAAACAGTAGAGGCACACAAATGTATACGTAAACGCACTATAATAATATTATAGTATACCTACCGCGGAATCGTAGTCTGGTTATTCACGCCTTTTCATCATTTTGGAACATCAGTTTATCAACCTTCAAAAAACCAATTTCTTAAATCATATATGTTTTTCGGTTCTTTGTAAATCGCGCATTCTGAGTTCTGATCGTTTGTCATTGAAAGCATTCCGACTTTAGTTTCAGCTCAATTACCAACTTTAATACGATTTGTATTTATTAAATAACTATCAAGAATTAACATGTCTATATAAATATTAAGTACCTAACACGAGTAACATAATTAATAATACAAGAATTTCGAATTTATCGATTTCATTTTTAACAATAGCATCAACATTTTAACGATGAATGATGATACTTTTAAAATTATGTTAAAAAAAACCTTATTCATGTCAATCTGAGTTCTGACGTTAATAGACGTTCATCCTTGATATTTTTATCATGAAAATAAATATCTAATATTTAGACGTTGTAAGGATCATGTTTGTTTTTTGTACAAGGCTTATATTACAGTAGTCACTCGATAATTTGAAATTTAAGGGACCTAGTTAAACATTCGATTTATAGAGGTTTTCGATTAACCGAGTGTTCAAATAATTGGGGGGAAAAAATGTATTCGAAATAAATAGATGTGAAAAATGATTGTATATATGTACATATTACATTTATTTATTATTCATACATACATATTATTATATTTTAAATACTAAAAAAATCTGTTATTTTTTTTTTGATAAATTACTGATCACAATTTGGTCCATAGAATTGTATAACTTACTGATAACATTGAAAATTGTCTTGCATCTTTTTTCATTCATCACAGATTACTCAAAAAATTGACGTAATCCTGACAAAAGTTTAGATTAGGTAAGAAAGGTACGATAAAGTTTATAAAATACAATAATATTTAACCATCATCGTTATGAATTTCATTACGAATACGTCAAATAGATTGTACATAATCTTTATATATATGTACATTGTACATTGTATTTACATCTAAACTTATATATAATCCAGTTTAAGGAAATTCAAATTATAGAGGTTTATAGAATAAAAATTCGAATTGTAGAGTGTATTCCACCGACAGATATTTTGAATTATCAAGGGGACTAGAATACATGTATTTTCTTCTAATTATAGAGGTTTTCTCCGGGGACTCAGCGTTTAGTTCGATTTACAAGTTTTTCAAATTATCAAGATTCGAATTAACGAGTGACGACTGTACTTATTTTTTCATTATACGTATGTATACCTGTTATTTTTTTCGAATTTAATTGAATGAAGATAATTGGAAAAAACAATTTTACAACAAACATTATTATATTTGTTATGATTTCTAAAACTCTGCAGTTATATCTGAAACCAACCTGTGTTTATAATAATAGGTTTCCAATAATTAATACATCTACGTAATGTTTTAATTAACAGATTTTTTCCTCGCAAATACAATTTACTATTATTATATTGTTTGAACATTAACAGAATCAATCAACTAATTTTCGAAAATGTATAATTCATAGGTAAAACTAATACCTAATTGTTACCGGTTAGAGTTTTATTTTTATAGGTACAGAACATAGTTTTCTTAGTTCTCTAATTTTAAAAGAGAAATAGCTGTTTATGAAAAAAAGCTGTTAAAAATGGACGATGTAATAAAATAATTCTATTGCGAGTTCTCAAAGGTATCAGCGCTGTCATTACATGACTGATTACAACAACAAAATTTTGCCTGTTGTAGGGCTGAAAATTTTTGTTAAAATAAATAGGTTCACGGAAATATGACTTGTAAAAGTAAATAAATTATACAAAATGATAATTTATTTTTAACTAATATTATTTAGGATTAACGCGTGAATATTTGGTCTATAACAATAAATAATAATTATACATATAGTTTTAGACAATAATCCTGTTCATAACATTATAATTACTTACGTATTTAATTAATAATGTTAATAAGGTATTTTTTCATGTATTACAACATAATTTACCGTAGCATACATGCGATATGCATATTTAAAATTTGAATGTATCATATATATTATACATTGTTGCCAATGTAATTTATATCTATCACAAACACGCGGTGAAAGTGTATAGTAGCCAGTAGAGTATATGAAGATTTAACATCAAAAATGTAAGTGAATAGAAATAACGCGAAAAATATAAAAATAGATCGAATACAAGGGAGAGATCGGTAATTGTAACACTGTCACGATATTTTCGCGTAAATATAATTTGAAGTGCGCCAGAATTATTATATAGGTACCTATTTTTCTTATTACTAATTGTGAATAGTGATTATGTGATTTGCAGTTTAATAAGCTCGATACTTCAAAAGAAACAGATGAATTCAGTTTTTTTGATCAAAATCTTCAAATATATAATAATTAGGTAGGTACATCAATAAATTATGATGTATTGTAAAAAAATATTTTTTTAAAAATCGAATTCACTATGTTGTATAAAATAGTTGTCGAGTATGCTGTATACTTTGTCATTGAGTAATTGACTGTAATGGATGTGTTAAACTTGAATTCAAAGAAATAAACCACTGTGTTCAAATACGAAAATTGATTCTAGTCTCTATAAAATAGGTACTAATATTAATATTTAGTGAACATTTTAATAAATCTCTACAAATATATAACAATATTGCTTAAAAATTCCTCTTTTCTTTGATGTCTTTGATGGTAACGTCAAGTTTCAGATACACAAAAAAAATATCAAAATCTAAAACAGTAATATTACACATTCTAACAATAATTCCAAATGCATCTTATAGCATAGATCAATTAAGTAATCAAATCATTTTTTTTTTTTTTAAACCGTAAGCTCTCATGGTAAAGTCATTTAATGAAAAAATAATTTATTGTTTTCTTTTATATAATAATATTTACAATTTATCAAACACACACACACATATAAATACAAAATAATTATTATTTAACGTTATATTAAAAATTCAAATGTTCAGTCAATTGTTCTGATTTTGAAAAAAAAATGTAAATTTTTAAATATCTATACAGCACCGATAAAAAAAAAAAAAAAAAACAATAATAATAATAAAATCATTATATCTTAATAATTTCTCAACTGTTTGTTTTTTTAAATTAATTATTTATTAATAGGAAGTAGGGTACCTACCTATAAGCGTTTAAATCAATAAGTGAAATAATGAACCAACAAATTATAAAGAAATTTCTCGCCACTTCATGCTTGTTATAAAATCCTTACAATTTATAAATAATATAATTTATACTGGTTTAATGTTCAATGTATTTTAAAATAAAAAATGTCTATCTTAGGATATGATATGGCGGATATGATTAATAAAAAAATCATTACTATGAAAATAATAGAGAATAGATTTTTTGCGAAAGCGTTATGATATATAAGTTTACAATTAAAGTCGAATGTCCTTCAAAATATTTAATAAAATATAAAATATATAACAAATTTGAAACTTTACACAAAGTAAGTGCTTTATGTTAATAAAATCACTTATTTATATATACGTATATTGTATAAATATAAATAAACAATACAAAATAGTTGATAGCTTAATTAATAACGAAATACAATCTACATCAAACTTAGATCACGATGGGCTTAATAAAATACTTGGTAACTCAAAAAATTGAGAAATTCTAATGATCGTGCACGTGTTCGTGTTCGTGTTCGTGTTCATGTTCGTGTGATGAATGATCGTGATCTGAATGTTGATTGTTGTCAACTGGGCCGTGACTGTGTTGATGAGCTGAAAAAATATTAATATATTATATTATTTATTAAATAAACTAAAAACTGATATAAAACTATAATAATGAAAATTTAAGTAATAGGTATAACTTATAACGTATAAATGCAGGTATATCGCGTCATATTAATCATAGAATTAAATAAGTAATGAAAACGTAGGATAGGAATGGTTTTTCGATCAAGTAAAAATATTATAACTACACAATAATCTTTATTCTTTGATGCAATGTACACAATAATATAAAAAAAAATTATTTTTATTTTTATTGAGACCCTAGGCAATGTGTTCAATGGGATAAGTAAAAAATTGAATACCTGCCTAATGTTATAATAGTAAGCTATATTGAATAAAATAGATTAATTAACCTGTATAAACAGTGTTAATCTATTGAATAATACATTTTTTTTTAATTATTTGTTATAATTATAATATTTAAATAATATATATTAATAACAAATAGATTAACTAATGGACTAATAATTAATTATAATACTAAACACGTCATTTAAGTATTAGTAAATTACATACAAATCTAGAAATATTTTGGACAGACATAAAGAAAAATAAGGATGTATTTTGAAATTATGCAAACTACGAGTATTATTACTTGGAATGTATTACATTTATGAATAAAATAAAATAAGGTTTGATACTTAATTCTTAATTATATTTTAACAGTCATAGCTCACAGTTCATGAGTAATTATATTATTTTATAAACACTATATATTTGCAATGCACTAGTCGCAACTTGGAATTTATACTCTATATTTTAAATCTCTTTTTTTAATGTTATATGATATAGAACAATACCATTAATATCAAGTAACAAAAATATTTAAAATAAGTAATGATGTAAAATAATAAATAAAAATATAATTAATTTAACTTATTTATAAAGTTATTGTTAAAAGTTAATATGTTATTAATTATTATTTTTATTGCGCAAAAATTGTGCATAATTTAAAATATGAATTTCTATAAAATATTGTTTACAAATTAGTTTTGAATGCTATCTGAAACGTGATACTATTGATACCCACATATACGGTTTTTGATTAAAATATAATATGTATGGGTAAGTCATTATTAACTTAAAAATATTATGAATAAACTATTATATATGAGTCACAATTACTTGCAGAGTATTACACATTGTTTGCTATTATTATTAAAAACAATGAAAACCTTCATTAGCTATATTGTTTAACCAAATTAGTGATTCGGTAAATCACACATTTTTACACATTACCTATTAATTACAACATATTATCATATAAGTAGGTACGAGAACTTATGACGGATTTTTAAACGCTGTTTTAATAGTTTTAAACAATAAAGTAATATATTTCAATCACGTAATTTACCCATTATAATTTATTAATCAAATATTGTTCGTGCTTTCATTTTAATTTTCATCATAATTCATAATAATATAATACTTACCACAAGCAATTAGCTATTGAAATTGAAGTAATCATGCATTATACTGAATATTAATATATTTTTTTTTATTCATCTGATTTCATAACTTTATAATGTTCTTAAAAAATGTATTTACTAGGTTTTGAATAATTTAAAAATATCGTCTAGGTTCAACTTATTAAACGAACCTAAGGTATTTACGTACTTGATCATATTCCGAGAACTTATTTTTTATTTTATATATGTATTAGTTATTAGAGATAACTTCAATTTCAATAAATACTTGCGTAGCTTTTTTAAATTTGTTTCTAACTGAAAATTAATTTTTCTTTAGAACGAAGGCGTTTCTAAACAAATTCAACATCTATTAGTTTAGTAGAAGTTTAATTTTATATACATAATGTCCTTCTTACTGCATTTTCTACGGATTTATAAACCACAGATGTAACATAAAACATCAAAAGTGTAGATTAAACAGGTTATATATTAAATAGAATATATTCCGTGATTTAGCTATAATTTTAAATTATAAATGATTTGATTTTTTATGTCTCTAGGTTATTTTAAGTTAAACACAAAATACCACAAACTATTAAACACTTTTAACCTTTTAAGTAACCCTACAAGTTTAAATATTATTTAGCTAATACATTTGGTCAAACTCAAACACAAGTTAACTATATAGTACATTATAATTTATAAGTAATAAATTTTAGTTTATATAATGCCATTGACTTTTTATGTGTAATTTTATTTCATTAACAAAACAAATTACATACTACATAAAGTACATAATTTAAAAATTTAAATAGTAATATTTCAATTTAAATGTATTGACGTACCGGACATCAACAATTTCAATAATATTAACAATTATTTTTTCAAGTATGTTACGACGTAATGTATTAACACATATATTAAACTGTAAATTATATTTTAGAATAAAAAAAAAAAAAATAACAAACTTATAAAGTTACACTTTAACGATTTAATGATACTGGTATACTGATAATTACTAAAAGTATTTTTAATTTATTATTTTAAGGAACATTTGAGTTTAATTTCAAAATAAATTAAAAGAACATTTATTTATTTTTATTGCCGATTTTCAATGATAAATATTTTTATTTTAAATTCAACGTTTTTTAAATCATTTAAAATAGAAAAATCTCCTAAATCTAAAACAATACCAAAGGCAAATTTGTTTTTAAAAAGAAAGAATTTATTTTGAAAAAGAGCCTTTTTAAAATGTTATACATATTAAGACCCTATGAATTTATAATACTATTTAAAATTTTAATATTTTATTTACATAATAATTATATATTAACTATACATCTATCAGTAGCTAAACATATAGAGGTAATACGTATTTTACTATTTTTTTTTAAGTTTAATTATTTATTATTTATTATTTTAAGAAGTTTATCGTATTTAATTTAATAAGTAATAGTTCTTAACAATTGTATGTCATAAATGTGTATTTTATAGCATAAAATTCTATTTTCATAAATATTCATGTTTTAATAGAAACGCGGTAATTTACTTTGAAAAATATCTTGCCTATAATGTTCTCAATTAATGCGACTATAATTTGTAAACAGTATATCTTCAATGTCTACATTGTTCAAAATATTTTTAAAAATTATAAATAATAAAAATCTATTTTCTCATTAGTTATTTAAATTAAACTAAAATTGTCTATATGAGATAAGTACGTTGTCAAATGAACTGTTAATGTCCAATACCGGATATTACGAAATAAAAAAATAAAAATATTTAAACGTTAATTAAAATTAATTGTTTTCTTTGAATAATACAATATTTTTACCGGTTATGTAACGCATTGGTACCTATATTTAGAATATAATTTAGTTTTTGTAGTACAATGGTACGTTACGTGTATTCAACTGCACGAACTATTACGACATAAAGCTGACAATTGGGTTCTTCTTTTTCCTCCTATTCAGCCCTTTTGAAAAATATAAGTTTAAATCATGATATAAATTAAATAATACATATTGCACAGCTATCTAAATTGACTATAAGGTATGTCATTGTTAGATAATTTGATGCGGTATAAACTTGTCACTTACAGAATGCTGACTGTTTTAACTGCCTTAAGATGATATACAACTGTAGCATGGCACAATAATATACTTTGTTATTTTAAAACTTAATAACCTCACGATAATATAGAATGTTCTCATCATCTCATTTACTTTAAAATAAATTATAGAGCTACACGTTAATAGCTATTATAATGGTCAATGAACATTGAACAAAGAGTGAAAAGGCATTACAAACATGAAGCGATCAATGATATTTTTACCTACATCAAATTAATGTACTAAATAAAATTTGTTCAGCGAATTTTAGTGACTGAAATGAACTCTACGCAGTAAAATTATGAGATAATAATAGTATTTTAACTAAATACAATTCTAATAATACAATAAATAATAAGCTATGAACAACAAACATTTGTTATCTATATTCCTAAAAGGGCTAAAAGGTATAATCTATATTTTAGTATAGGACTATTTTTTATTTTACTTTTAAGTTAACTTCAGCTGCTTAAATCCACTTGTAATTACTCGTTAAACAGTATTGAGCTACATTGAAAGTATTATTGCATTTTTCATAAAATTCATAATTCTAAAAAAATAATGTAACGATTGCATTAGTTCATCTATTATTTTACCATCATTTTTTCCCTTAAAATAAACCATTTCGAATGCAATATACTGCTATAACACTCACTAACTTTCAGTAAATTAAACGATTTTTATTTTGTTTATTCACTCCAAAATAAGCGTTGAACATTAAATATTATACTTATAGTATATTGTACAGTATGTGTTAGTCACATCGATTTCTAGATGAATTATCTTAGTCAGCGATGAGATAGTATCCAATTTACTCTTTCAAATTTCAATTTAATATTCACTGACTCATGAAGTAGGTACTCCATCTTCAAAAATTGCTATCTATTATTATTAACTTTCTAAATCTAATAAATATGTACATCGAATATACACGTTATACCTAAACTTATAAATTGCGTATGTTATGGCTTGGCTCTTCTAAATAATTTATTCAGCATACATACAATAAACAACATGCGTGCCGTATTATACACTTTTTAATAGCATGTTTAACAGTTGTCGAAAAATGAGGTATGTTGTAGATTCTATAGATCTTAGATAAATAGACATTTTATAAACATTTATAGACTGTGCTCAAAACATTAAAAAGTTGTTTTATATAATATAAATAATTTAATAATAATTAAGTAATATTATATTATGTATATTATATATGTTATATTATATTGATAGCAATTTTAATATAAATAAAATAAAATTAGATTTATTTTTAAATATTTTTAAAACGAGTGACCAAATTAACAGGTGAAACCTATAGTTACTGGCCTTCTCTAGTTCTCTACGTACCTATTATTTATATTTCTGGGGAAAGAAATTCTTTCGAATTTCAAAGCTAGATTAGAAAATTAACAGAAATGTTTTGTTAAATATTTGCCTAAAAAAAAAAAAAAAATTCGAAAGTATT